CCCGCCCGCCTCTCTCTCGAGAAGCTGGGGGCCCTGGCGCGGGCCTGGGCGCTGCAGGTCCCAAGGAGGTTTGACTCGGCGGCGCCTGTGACGGCCGAGGCGAAGGCCCAGGAGGCGGGCGCGATGCGATGGCAGCGCCCCAGTCGCCAGCGCCACTCGTGGATGAACACGGCCCCCCCGACTCGGCGTTTCGGGGGTTCTACGGCGTGGCGGAGCAGCACCTGGTGGGCCTCTTCGGCATCGAGACTGGCAGCGCTCAGTACCGAGGACGGCCCCGTGGAGTCCGCAGAGCCCAGAGGCGCCTGAAGGACCTCCGGCGCGCGCAGACTGCGAGGAAGGTGGGCCCCCTGGCGCGGCTCTGGATCTCTCTCGGCGGACTTGCGCGGCAGCTGGCCTCGGCGGCGGCGGCGCTGGCTCCGCCGACGGGCATCGCGCGTTCGTTCTGCGCCTGGAGGATGTCGCTCTCTCGCTGGCGCCGAATTTCGCCCTGCACGGCTGCGCGATGTTCTCGCGCAAGAGCACGTGACCGATCGATGCTGGAGGGGGTGAAAGCGCGCGCGAGGGCCGGCACCTTCTTCCGGGGGGCCGTCGAGGCAGCCGCGACCAGCCGCGCCAGAGTGAGCGCCCAGCTTGCCCGCCGACGTTGGAAGGAGTTCGTGGGCGACGCCATCGACGCTGGGGTCCGCGGGGCGCATGCAGCTAGCAAGCTGGCGCGCGCCGAGCAGCCTGCAATCGTGGGCGAAGGGGCGCCTGAGTTTCCCCCTTCGCCGCTGGCGGGGCAGGCTGCCCTGGATCAGACGCTGCGGGGCTGGGAGAGGCCGCGGCTGGACAGGAGGGCCCCCGGCGAGCCTGAGGGGCCCTTCGGGGGCCGAGTGCTTATTCCCCCGTCGCGCTGGGCAGTCGCCGCGGACCTGCCTGCCATCGCGGGCGAGGGGGCGCTGGCGGCCGCCGCGGCCTTCCCCAAGAGGGCCGCCCTGGGGCGGGATGCTTTCCGCATCGGACTGGTGGTGCTGCTGCTGCTGCTACTGCTGCTGCTTGGGGGCCCGTTCGCGAACCGCGCGGCGGGGGCCCTCGCGGCCTGGGGGCGCGACCTCAGACCCGCGAGCCTCTTCGCCGCCCTGATAGTGTTCCTGGGCAGACCCGACGGAGGTTGGCGACCCATTGGGCCGATGGCCTTTTGGCTGCGCATCTGGGGCCGCGTCCGCAGGGGGCACTGCGCCAAGTGGGAAGCCGACCGCGCTCTGCCCCAGATCTGGGGCTGCAGCGCCGACGCCAGCTGCGACAGGGCGGCTCGCCTGCGCCGCTGGTGCCTCGGGCTGGCCAGGTCCAGAGGATTCGAGGGATCCTCGGTCTACTCCGACGTCAGCAAGTTCTACGAGTGGATTGACCATGAGCTGCGGCTGTAGGCGGCGGTGACGGACGCACGACTTCAGACCTCAGCCCAGGGCTGGTCAAAACCCTCCGCGCGGCCTGCGCGGGGTCCGGGCGCGCCGCGGCGGACGGGGCCATCAGCGAGGAGCTCTGCGCGGCAAGCTCGGTGATTGCGGACTGCTCCTGCGCGACCGCGATAGCTCGGCTGATGCTGCTCGACTTGCTGCTTCGAGGTCGCGCGCTGCTCCCGGTCGTGCGGGTCAACGCGATTGGCGATGCTACTGGGCACGGCGTCGGCACGAGGCGCATATTGGTGCGCCAGATCTCACTTCGCCTCAGGGGTGGGGGCCGTGCTGAAGGTCGAAAGGCCGCCCATCAACTGGGCCTGGCGAAGGTGCTCGCCTCGTCGGCACCCCCTCGGGCATGCTGGATGGCCGACCCCCGCGGATGCCTTCGTCGGGCCGCGGGGGCCCTGGGCGGCGACGCCACGGCTGGCGGGCACCGCCGCGCGACGACTCAGGCGGCCAGGGAGCTGGCAGCGCTCCGCCAAGCGGCGCGCCTGACACGCCTCTTCGGGCGTGGGCTGAGGCAGGCCCGAGTGATGAGGGCTGGGCCGACGGCCGAGGCATCCTTGGGATCGGCGATCGCGGGCGCGCCGCCAGGCCGAATGCGGGCGCTCCGCGCGGCGACGACCAGGGGCGCTGGGCGGCTGACGCCAGGAGCTGCGCTGAGCTACGCGCTGCAGTGCTCGCCGCGAGGCTGGAGGCAGGACCCGCTGGTCGTCTCGACGGGCTTGGCAGTCCAAGCTTTTGGCGGCGCGACTTGGGATCGGCAGGCCTTGCCAGCGGCGGTCAAGGCCTGCTTGGAAGGAAGCGGACGCCTGGAGAGCTGCCAGCGGCCGTGTGTGGCAGTGCGGGATCCCGCCGCGGCTCTGGTGCCCACTTTGAAGCGCGTCGGGTGGCAGCTAGCTGGCGATGGGGCTCTCCTGCGAGACGGGCAGGGCTGCGAGTTCGTCGCGCGCCGCTTCTCGCCCTTCGTCCTGGCGGAGCGGGCCCGGGAGGCGACCGGGAAAGCCGCGGCGCTGGGGGGGGGGCTCGAGCAAGGCCAGAGTCGCTGTGCCCGTGGCGGCTGTTGCCCGCCTGGGGACCCATCAGCGATCTCCTTTGCAAGGCGTCGTCCGAGGTATGGCCCAGCCACCCCAAGGGCTACCTGCGCTGGCTGATCTCGCTGGCGCACTGGCCCCAGGCCAGGCTCGCCAGGTACAAGAATGGCATCGGCCCCGCGTGCCTTCTCTGCGAAGGCGATGCTGGCGTAGTCTTCCACGGGCACTTTGAGCGCCCCGCGCGGCAGGCCTGGCGTCGTGGTATTCTGCCCCCCGACCTGCAGCAGGCGGCGAGAGTTGCTCTTTGCGGGCGCTTCGGCCCTGGCCCCGAGACCGAGCTGGCAGAGAGACTGGGGATGGAAGCAGATCGGTTGGGAGAGACCCCTTGTGGCTCCAGAGGGCGCGCTCGTCTTCGCCGACGATTCCTGCGCGCGCGGCGCCTTCCCCTCGCTGCGCAGCGCGGGCTGGGCAGTCATCGTCATGTCGGCGGACGGGCGAGTGCTTGCCCTGGCGTGGGGGGCGGTGCCGCCGCGTGAGGTCCCGTCGCAGACGGCGCGAGCTGGGGAGGACTACGCGGCGGTGATTGCCCTCGCGTGGATCGTCGGATCTCACGAGGTTCTCGGCGACTGCAAGGGGGCGGTGGACTGCGTCCGTGACGTCCAGAAGGCGCGGGGCCCCACCTCCATGCATGCCCGCCTGTGGTGGGCCCGCGTGGGGGGCGCCTCCGTTGGGGGTCACGGCCGGGCGCGTCCCTGCGCGCGAGTCCGATGGGGGGCGGTCAGACGCGGGGAGATCACGGCGCGGGAACGAGACGGCAACCGCTTGGCCGGCCAGCGGGTCAAGCAGGGGGCCAGCCTCCATGCTGCAGCGGAAGACGAGGTGCTGGTCTTGGAGGTCTCGGCGGCTCGGGCTCGCGACGCGGCGCGCTTCGCCGCGGAGATCGAGGTCCGCGTCTCGGAAGCGGGGGCCCGCGACTGCTGGCCCGCGGCCGCCCTGGAGGATTTGATCTTCGAGGTCCCCGTGGAGATCTACGACGAGATCGGCATGGCGCCGCGGGCCCCCCAGGCTGGGCGGCGGAGGCAGGCCTGACAGCGGCCGCAGAGGCGGCTGCCCCCAGAGCGGCCCCCAGAGCAGACAGCACAGGAGAGGCGGCGAGCGGCGCCAGCAGCTCAACGGCGCGGAAGCGCCCCGCGGCCTGCTTCCTGCCAGAGCGAGGAAAGGCAGCGGCCAGCTGCGGTGCCGTGGACTCTTCGGCGGTGGCGACCATGCGGAAGGTGGCGCGCAGGCTCGAGGCCGAGCAGGAGGTGCTGACGCTGTCGGTTGCGCCTGCGATGGCGGCGAGGGCTTCGCCGTGCGCTGCGGACGAGACAGCTCGCAGCGCTGGAGCGCAGGGCATTCCATTGCCAGGAGTCAGTCCGTCAGCAGAGGAGACGCTCACGAGAGGCAGGCCCGGCAGGGCTACGACCGACTTGGAGGAGGTCGCGGGGAAGCAGGGGTTCCAGGTTTGCGGCGAAGCTGGGCCCCGGCGAGGTGGGCTCCAGACTCGTGGGCGTCTACCCCGCGGCGTTCGCCCGAGGGCGCGCAATGCCCTGGCGCCGCCTCCGCCGCGCGCCGAGGGCGAGCCCTGGTCCGTCAATGGCCGCCAGCTGGCGCAGGGTCAAGTCCTTAGCGGGTCCGAGGCGCCGTTCCCGGCAGGACGGACCTGCAGAGGGGGGCGCCCCCTGGCACGAGGCAGCCGTTCGGCGAGCTGCCGGCCCCGACGCGGCCAGCAAGATGCAGTGGGCCGAGAAGTTGGGCGCTGAGGCGGGAGGCTTGGGAGGCGGCGGCGGAGCGGCAGATCCAGCTGCCGTGCAGGCCTCGGCCAGCGCGGCGGAGCGGCCCGAGGCGCTGCCAGTCGTGGGCAGAGAGACAGCACAGCGGGCACCGCCAGCCGCCGCCCGCTCCGAGCCCGAAGCAGGGCCTGCACTCACAGGTTCTCTGTTTCGTTCAGCCTTGGCCCCGTGTGCTGGGCTTCCGGTGATGAGCCTCACGCTCTCGCCGATTGGGTCTCGGGCGTGGCTGCTCCACAGGTTGCGCTTACTAGGGTCCTGCCCCTCGGGTCCCGCCCACAAGGTCCCGCCCCTTGGGTCCCTGCCTTCGTTGTCCTTACATGTTGGGTGTTTCATAGTTGCCAATCTGGACCTGCTCATCTGGCCCTGGCCCCAATCGTCGTCGCGTTTGGGTTTTCCGGAGGCTTGCTCACAGGAGCCCTCCCATAGAGTGCTGGCCTGAACTGCCCTTGCGTGTTGGGATTTTTGTGGTTGCTCGTAGGGTCCCGCCCAGAGGAGTGCCAGCTTTCCAGTGGTCCTGGCCATAGTTCCTCGCATCTGGTTGCATTCGTGCCGTTTTGGTTTGGTTGCCGATCGCAGGGCCCTTGCGCTGGCGGACGTGTCTGCTCATGTCAACTGTTTGAGGCGAGCGAGCCGGTACGATGTTGTTTCCCATCTGTCTACACCAGTCTTTCGCCACTCGCATCGCCTGGTTACAGGATGACACGCCGAACGCTTGCTTCACTGACATCTCAGCAGAGGACATGGCGGAGGCTCGCAATGTGATGGATGCAGAGGAATAAGAAAGAGTATGAGAGGCAGTTCGAATTAGAGGCTGGGGAGGGTGCGAGGAGGAGAGATGTGCAAAGACAGGGGGAGGGCAAGGGAGAGACAGAGACAGGTGAACTGGTCAGGACGACACACAGGCTGTAGAGATAAGGGGGTGGCTGAGGGGGAAGAGAGAGAGAGAGAGAGAGAGAACAAAAAGAGAGAAAGAGAGAGAGAGAGAGAGAGAGAGAGAGAGAAAGAGAGAGAGAGAGAGAGAAACACAACAAATAAATATAACGAGAAAGAAGGAGAGAGAAAAAAGAGAGGGAGAGAGAGAGAGAGAGAGAGAGAGAGAAAACAAGAAATACCAAAGCGGACGGAGTTCGTTGGGTGAACAAAGCTCTCGCGAAGGGCACCCCCGACGTGAGCCCTGAAGCGTTCCGAAAACTGGCGGCCAGGCTGGCGGACGGGGCTGTAGAGGGCGAGGCACTCACAAACGACCCCCCCGCCCACGGGGCCCCAAACCAGAGGGGGGGCAGGGGTCCGCCTCCCAGGGAGGTGGGAGGAAGGAGGAAGGAGAGAGAGGAGGCGGGAGAGGAGAGAGGAGGAGAGGGAATGGGGCGGAACTCGACCCCCCAGGGCGTGGTGCCCACAGGGGCGGACGGGTGCCCGCGGGAGCTCGGGCACCGCTCAGACCCCCTGGCAGGCTGGGGAGGGCCAGCACCCCCAGGGACAGGTGCCAGGGAGCAGGCTGCAGCCAGGGCGCGCGGCGGCGAGCCACCGGCCAGGGCGACTGGGGCCGCATCCAAGCACGATGCGTCTCGGTGGGGACGGCCCTGTGCGGGGTCACCCACCGCCCCACCGCAGAAGGGACGGACGTGCCCCGCGTGCCCCGCGCCCTCGGAGGCGCGGCCGGAGGTGGGCGCCGGCGTGGCTGCGGCGATCCTCAGTCAGGCGGCGCCTGCTCCAGGGAAGGGCCTCCTCGGTCCGGCGCGCCGCGAGGGGGCCACTCCGTTGCTCCGCCACGCACTGCCCACCAAACCACCCAAGCCCAACCCGAAGGCCCCAAGTTGCCCTCCATTCCAAGTGGGGGTGCGTCCCGGAGCACTGAACGACCAGAAATGGAGCCCGTACGCTCCCCAACCCGAAATTCGGGACTTCGGGTTGGTTTGGTGTGGTCTGGTAGGTAGCCAGACACGACGTGGCGGAGGGGTGGTGGCGTGAGCTGCTGCCCAGAGGCCTCGTCGTCACCACCTGCCACGACGATGAGGTCGACCGCGAGCGGCTGCTGTTGTGGCCCGCAAGTGAGTTCAGTCGGGCCGTCGTGACACCGGTTGGGGACTTCTACGTGGAGCCCGCGGTGGCCGACGCAGAGTCGGTGGTGACAAGCAGGATCCCGCTGGATGATCTTGGTGAGGTCCCTGGTTGCCACCCGAGAAAGGTGTACAGGATCCGCAGTCACCCGAATGACCGAAGGAGTAGGCTTTCAAGAAGCTGTTGCGCGAGGGCCGTGCTGTTGCCGAGGCGGAGATGGGCTCAGGGGCGCATGAGATCAGGGGTTGGCCGATTACGAATGGCGCATGAGATCAGGGGCTGTTGCGAGTGGCTGGCGTTGGCCGATTACGAATTCCGCTGCGACTGCGGTTACCCGAGCTCGCGCTGATGGTCCGGCAGCACCAGATGCCAGCCAGGCGCCGCTTCTGCCGCCGCCAACCGACCGCCTTTGGGTTTCCAGGATGCTGGCTGCCGCCCGCCTTCCCCCCAGCTGCGCCTTTTGAGTTTTTTGTGACGACGAGTGTTGACGGAGCCGGCCGGCCGTTGGAGAGAGAGAGAGAGATAGCGGAATAGACAGAGGGATATACGTACACACACATTTGTATATATATATATATACACATATATGTACACACGTGTATACACACATACATACATATTACATATATGCAAATCTCTATATCTATATCATTACACACATATTCATGTATATGTACATCTAGATGTATATATGTACATCTATTTAGATTAGGCGCAGGAGTACAAACAAAACCACTAAACTGATAAATCGATAAACCGAAAACACTGATCGGTTTATCGATTTATCTGTTCGTCGACCGATCAAACAATATTTTCATATCGGTTTATCGGTCGATAATCGCACGAACGGGTAAACCAATAAACCCGTCCCTTGGGCTTTCAGTTCCGACTGCGTCTACCAGGTTATCGGATTATCGGTTTATCGGCGTATTCGACGCGTAGCGATGCCCCAGCCCTGTGGACACCGCCCTAACATCTCGGCCTGCGCAATGGCGTTTATCGGTTTATCGGTTGATCGGTTTATTCGGTGCGTAGCCACGCCCCTACCACTACTGCTAAACCCGTCCTTCGCCCTTGTTTTCAGCTTTGATTGCGTTTGTCGGTTTATCGGTTTATTCGGTGCGTAGTCATGCCCCAGCCCTGAGAACCGTGCCCTAACGCCTCGGCCCGCGCAATTGCGTTCACTGACTTATCGATTTATCGGTTTATTCGGTGCGTAGCCGCGCCCGAACCCTGACTCCGCAGCCCCAACCCTGCAACCTCAGCCCTTTTATCGGTTTATCCGCGTCTTTGGGTTCATTCGGGAGGCAGGCGGTTCATCATCTGTGCTTATTCTGGATCGGTATCTGCCGCCCTGGACAGAGTAGTGAACACTTTGGGTCAGGGGTTAGGGGTTCGGGTTCGGGTTCGGGGTTAGGGTTAAGACTTAGAGTTAGGACTAGGGGTTAGAGGTTGGGGTTCGGGTTAGCGCAGGGTGAAGAAACCAACAAGCGGACTTCTTAAGCACTCCACTCGAACGCCGTGGCGCGTCTGATGGGTGTAGGGTTTAGGGCTAGGGTTAGGGTGAGGATTAAGGGTTAGGGGTTAGGGTTAAGGGTTATGGTAGAGGTTCGGGTTTAGGGTTAGGGTTAGGGTTAGTGGTCAGGCTTAGCGTCCGGATTAGGGTTAGGGTTAGGGGTTACGGTTTAGGGGTTAGGGTCAGGGATAGGATACAGTGTTAGGGTAGGGGTTAGGGGTCAGGGTTATGCTAGGGTCAGGATTTGATGTTAGGATTAGGTGTCACGGTTAGGTGTTAGGATTAGGTTTTACGGATAGGGTCAGGATTAGGATTAGGCATTCGAGATTGGAGCGGTTGGTTTTTGGTCGTTTTCGGCATCCGGGGGCCCTCGAACTCGCCCCGGGAGAGAGTCGTGGATATTTTTTTTTGTCCCTCCGTCAGCGGCCAAAGTCCTGCAGGCGCTGCTGCCGGGGACAGCAACTGGCCAGCATGCCGATCCTGGTCTGGCTCATCCTGGCCCAGGATCGGAGCATACGGGGCGGTGTGTATGCACGGATAGTTTCGCCTTGCGAAGCCACTGTGCCTAAAGCGGGCTGAGTCTCGAAGTCTCGCAGGCGCCGCTTGTCTTCAGGCCGATGATCCCCAGGACGTGTCTGTGTGTGCGTGTGAATGTGTGTGTGTGTTAGCCCACTGATTGTTCACCCTGTTCAGCTCCACTGATAGGATGCAGCCTGTGTCAGCCCTCGCTGTAGGTACACCGCCTGCACCGCCTTCAATGGCCTCGGTGGACAAACGCACGTTGGCGCTAACACGCGTTCCCAAACATTCGACGATCTAATTTTTCCAATGCGCTGCCCCAGAGGACCCGACCCCTTGCCCTTGCATAGGGATGGTTTTTCGTCCTGTATTCATTCTTTTGTTCCTGGGTCCGATGACGGTCCCCCGAGGCCAAGATCGAGAGAAAGCATCAGGATCAACAAATCAGATCAAGCTGCTTGCGGCGAGTTCCGCATCCGTGCCAGTCCAGCATTCTGGGTGGCGACTATTCGAGGAGGCACAGGAGGCCGTCACATGTGACACCTCGGGCCCCCAGGCTGGGAGAGGAGTGATGGGATGGGCGATTCTGCTGATGATGATGATGGTGATGACGATGCCGATGATGGTGATGATGATGATGATGATGATGATGAGGATGATGATGATGATGATGATGATGAGGATGACGATGATGATGGGATGATGCTGATGATGATGATGATGTTGATGGTGATGGTGGTGGGATCTATGATTATGCGGTTGATGATGATGATGATGATGCTGATGGTGATGATGATGAACTTGATGATGACGACGATGCTGCTGCTGCTGATGATGATGCTGTTGACGACAGCGACGGCGATGACGACGACGATGATGATGATGATGATGATGATGATGACGATGATGACGATGATGATGATGATGATGATGATGATGATGATGATGATGATGAGGATGATGCTGATGCTGATGCTGATGCTAATGCTGATGCTGATGCTGATGCTGATGCTGCTGATGATGATGATGATGATGATGATGATGATGATGATGATGATGATGATGATGATGATGATGATGGTGGCGAGGACGATGAGGAGGTAGAAGAAGAGGAGGAGGAGGAGGAGGACGAGGAGAAGGAAAAGGAGGAGGAGGAGGAGGAGGAGGATGAGGAACAGGAGGGGGAGGAAGAGGAAGGCCGTCACATGTGACACCTTTCGTCTGCACGTCGTAAGGAGCCCTCACGGAACTCATTTGGACCGTCTGGGGGCCGTCTTGGCCTCTTGTGCTCGGGGGTCCCTCGGGGCTATCCCGGGGCCCTCCTTGGGCCGTCGTGGGATCCTCTTGGGTGTCTTGGGGCTCTCTTGGGCCGTCGTGGGGCCCTCTTGGCCGCATGGGGGGTGTCTACGGGCCGTTTTGGCGCCGTCTTGGGCCGTCGAAGGGCCTTCTGAGACCGGCTTGGGTCCCTCCGGGAGCCCTTTAGGGCCGTCTCGGGTGCGTCTTGGGCCATCGTTGGGTCCTCTTGGGCCGTTTTGGGACCCCCTTGGCGGCTTCGTGGCTCTTGTGCCGTCTTGGGGCCATCTTCGAGGCTTCTTGGAGGCGTTTTGAGGCCCTCTTCGGCCGCTCTTAGAGCGTTCTTGGGCGCTCTTGGGGCTATCTTGGGGCCTTCTTAAGCCCCTCTTGGGGCTCTCTTAGGCCGTCTTGGGCCGTCTTGAGTCCTCAAGGGCACATCGGGAGCGAAACAACGAGAAGGCAACACACATAGATTTACCATAGGTGTCGAAGCCATTTTAGCTTCTTGGGGTATCATTGGATGGCTCGGAAGGGAGCCCTATGAGCACTATGAGCCCCGCGGGCACCACGAGACCTATGAGCCCAATGAGCCCTGTGAGCCCTATGAGCCCTGTGAGCCCTATGAGCCCTAGAAGCCCTGCGAGCCCTACGAGCCCTATGGGACCATGAGCCCCATGAGCCCTATGAGCACTGGAGCCCTGTGAGCCATATGAGCCCTACGACCCCTGTGAGCCTGACGAGCCCTGCGATCCCTGTGGCCCTATGAGACCCAATGAGCCCTATGAGCCTTCTGAGCCTCACGGACCTTACGAGCCCGATGATTCCCAAGAGCCGATGACCTCACGGAACCCCAGGAGCCCTACAATTCCAATGAGTCCTATGACACCTATACATGACCACTTCCCGAACCGCACCGCGGCAGTGACGGCTGCCAGCCCCATTCCCCGGCGCCAGGAGGCACGAAGCGAGTAAAATCTTGTAAACATATATACACATATATATAGGTATGCAGACCTATGTTAATCCATATGTATATATATATATGTACATACCGACATAACATATTTATAGGTGTATGGAGTTATACACATACACAGATGTGTACAGTGACAGAGCGAGAGAAACATACATACAAAGAGACATAGAAAGAAAGAGCGAGAGAGAGAGAGAGATATGAGTCAGTAGGGAGAAGAGGAGGTCATAATGCCCCTGCTGCAGGCCAAGAGTATGGGCGATCTCATGGGCGTGAAGGCCCTCGCCCTCCTTGGAGCGACCGCTTAGGACGCGTCTTGGGAGGGGCCGCCCTTCCCTTCCAGCCTTCGGAGTGCCACGCTTCGGGCGTGTCGTCCACGAGTGGGATGCACGCGGGCCCTCGTGGTCCTTTTGATCCTTATTGGACCCCTCAACATGGGCGCCTTGAGCAGTTGAAACTTTCAGCCTGCACATTTGTGTGGCCTCCCTCCTCTTCGTCCCGCGATTCAATCGTGCCCGTTAGCCGTCAGCTTGCGTTATCCTCCCTTTGATTTCTTAGTTCGCAGTGGTGACCCCCTGGTGTCCAATTGCGGTGATGCCAGCGTCAGATTTGAGCTAACGATCGAGAAGCACCACTGGGTGATCGCCCAGGATGCAGATGAGGGGGGCAGGACGGGGTAGATCGCGCCCTGTTCTGCGGTCTCCACGGTTTTCAGTGGCGCAGAAAAGTTGAACTATTTCGAGCAGGTGGTTGGGGTTGTTAGATCTAAGAGCTGGCGACCCGCCTCGCACACCCTGCATATCGCGGCCGCCAGTCCCAAAGTGTGCTGGTGCTCCCTGGGTATGCCACCGCGAGTTCTTGGGTGGGGATCGCTCGAAGCACAATTCTTTACGTCGCGCCCTTTTTCGGGAGGGCTCTCATGGTGCCCTCTTTGAGGTTCCGTGGGTGCCTTTGGGTGGCCCGCAGCTTACGCTCGATGTTGCCGATGGTTCCAGCTCTGTCTACGCTCCTAGCCATGGCGGCGTTTTCTTTCTTCAGCGGGGCCCGCTTTAGTTTTGGATTCGCTTGCCGCATCCACCGGCGAGTCGGAGTCAAACATGTGGGAGATCCGCCTCCGCGTCTTGTTGGCACACCGAGAAAGGGATCCAATTGGATCCATCGGTGTTGTTATATTTTATTTCAAGAGGAACATATTTCGGCCTGGGATATATGACGCCATTACATCCCAGGGACCCAGGGAGTTCCTTCTATCGGCCCCCATCCTGTTCACAAGAGACTATGCGCTCGCTCGCTTATCACGAACAAGTGTCAATCATCAGTTGCAGCATATGCAACAACGTCCACGCGAGCGCGTTGTCGCGCGCATGTGTGCATCTTTAATATGTTGGAGGTTTCGTAGGGGTGTCGAGATCCATGGTCACGAGCACGTATCAAACTCCAATGGCTTTCCAACACTAGTTTTCCCCAGTAATCTGCGCACGCTTCTGCAAACGTTCAGGGAAACAACGCGTTTTCAACATTCCCTTCCACTCAGACCACGCGGGCCTCGCGCGCGCATATGAAATCATTCGAACGCCCTTGCGCGCTGTCTGAAGGGGGGGAACCCGATGTCTGTCAAATCGCACCATGTGGGCCGCGCGCGCGCGCGTCGGCCGCGCGCACGTCGAAATATTTCCATAGCCTGCATTCTCGTCGCATGGGCATCATCATTCCCATCGGCGTTACCAGCATCGGCGGCCTTATTGGCCTTGCCGTCGTTGTCGTCACCATCGCCACCGTCACCGCTACTAGCATAATCGTTTCCGCCGTTGTCGGTGCTATTGTCCGCGACCGCCCGAGTCACCGACCCGTATTGAAGGGCCCACGCGCCAGCGAGGTCCGTGAGACGCGTTGGGAAGTCCCCATCGGTCAGCGCCACCTTGGCCGCGTCGGTTGTGCGAGCTTGCGCGCTCGAGCGCGGCCGCAGAGATGCGCCAACCAGTGCCAATCAATGACGGCAATCGCCGCCGCATGGGTTTTGCAAACCAAGCTGTGAGTGGGAGGCTGGGGTGATTGCGCGAGCAGTGGAGATGACAACTTCAAGTTCTGCAAAGTGGATTGTGCCGCATATATTGCACCACATAATGCGTTCATTACGGCACATAGCTTGCACAGCATATATTGCACCACGCATGCTGCAAAACGCAAATTGCACCACGTAAGTTGCAACACATGTGATGCACCGCGTCGCGCACATCACATCTATTGTTTTGCATCGCCTGCACCTCCTATCTTGCATCACGAAGATTGCGTTACATCGATTGCACACTTTACATTGCACCAGTTAGGTTGCACCACGTAGATCTTATTACTTAGCTTGCTTGCACCGCATATATGGTTGAAACAGATGCTCCGCTATATAGTTCGCACCACGCATATTCTTCTTTTCGCAAGAACAGACTCTACCCCCCCCCCAGGGGGTGTGTCGGCTCCCCTGGGATCTCACAGGGTACATGCGTTTCTGCCTCATCGTTTGTTCTGCATATAAAACCATACCGTGGAGGTGCCCTTGCCATCCTCCCACATCATCTTTGCCAAATGTGACTAAGTTCGCGCAGTCGCTTATAACAGATGATGTCCACGACCCCCTTGAAAAACATAGCAAAGTGCACACGCGTGCGTCGTCGTGCGGGCATGTCAAAATCCTTTAATATTTGTTGTCGCCTGGGTGTCAAAAAATCCAGGTTCCCAGAAGCTCGTGGAAACCCAATGGTTGTCCAACATTGGTTTTCAAACGAATCTGCGCCCGCACTCTTGCGAGCACTTAGGAACATCATACATTGTTTTCAACACGTTCTCGAATGGGACAACGCGGGCCCCCTTGCGCGCGCATGTCGGAATCATTCGACAGCCTTTGCGCACCATATGGGCCAGGTGCGCGCGTCGACCGCGCGCGCACGTCGAGATCCTTTCAACACCCTCACCAACATCACATGAACATCATCATCGCCGTCGGCGTTACCAGCATCGGCGCCGTCATTGGCCTTGCCGTCGTCATCGTCATCATCGTCATCACCGTCGCTTCTATCATCATCGTTGCCGTTGTTGTCGGTGGCATGATACCGCGCCCGCCCGAGCCACCAACCCGCATTGAAGCGCCCGCGCTCCAGCACGGCCCCTGTGACACGCGCTGCGAACTTTCCATCGGCAAAGCGGCCGCGCCGGCTGCGCCAAACCAGCTGGCCGCTCTGCGCGCGAGCTGTCCCGCGCGCGCCAACGCGACTGCAGTTATGCGCCAGCCATGGCCAACCACTCATCGCAATCGCCGCCGCATGGTTTTTGCAAACCAAGATGCGGGTGGGAGAGTGGGGTGATTGCGTAAGCAGTGGACTTGTCAACTCACAGGTTGGCCAAAATTGAGGGCAGCACATAGATAGCACAACGTAGTTTGCGCCACAGTTGTTCCATCACATCTTGCGCTACATACACCGCACCACGTAGGATGCACTACGTAGACTGCACAGTAGAATCGCCACGTAGCTGGCAACACATTGATTGCACCACGTAGTTGGCATCACATACATTGCTTAACATATATTGCACTACGTAACCTACGCCACATACTTCGCACCACATATTGCAACACCTGTATTGCACCACCTCGTTTGCTAAAGCACACTGTTTGGGGCCCACGCTGGTTAACATGTTTCAGAAATCTCTCCCTCCTATACTCTTCGCATCCTGCTATCATTCCGCTTCGCTTGCCATGTGGAACTATGCTGGCACCAGCCTCCGTCCACTGGCACCCCAGGACGCAAGAAGCGCAGGTGTGAGATGTGGTCCACCCACCAGGTTGCCTTGTAGCTTTTTTGCTCCGTTCTGTGTACGCTGGAGGTTCAAGGGGGCGGCCCTCGCTGAGCGAGCTGTGAATCAACAGCAATTCAGCTTGAGTGAGTCACCAGGCGTGCATCACGATGGTGATGTCTTGTCTGTTCTGCCCTGGTCTGGTATGATCTGGTGTGGCATGTCGTGGTCCTGTGTGGGGTGGTCTGGTCTGCGCTGGTCGCATGAGGGGAGGATGAGCAGGGGGAAGCATCGGCGGAATGATGCAAGAGCTCTCAGCTACTCGCAGGGCGGGAGCAATTTGCAAATCGAGTGGATTCCCCGCCGTGGGGAGCTTCTCCCGCCTAAATTCCTTTTTGCGACTGGCAATCGCGTCGGCATGGGCACGTAGTCGCCAAGGGGTGGGGCTCTTTGCCGGTCATCTGGTATGTTCTGGTCCGTGTTTGCCTTGCCTCAGCTGATCTGATTCAGTCCGTTGTGCGCTGCTCAGGTCAGGTCAGGTATCGTAGGGTCTTGTCTGGTGTGATATGGTTCGATTGGTTGGTTGGATGTCCGACGTCCAGCTGGCGCCTCGTGTGATGCGGTTTGATTTGTTCCTGCCATGCGCACGGCGGGCGGAGCACGGTGAAGAGGCCCATGAGGAGCACCAGGGACAGCCACACCAGAAACAGAGGAGATGATGGGGAGGGCACGTAATGCGATGAGGATGGTGATGCTGCTGCTGCTGATGATGCAGCTGCTGGTGCGGATGATGATTATGATTGTGATGCTGACGACGACAAAGATGACGACGCCGACGATTGCGATGACGATGACGATGACGATGATGATACTGATGCTGATGCTGATGATTATGACGATGATGACGATGCTGATTATGCTGATGATGATGGTGATGATGCTGCTGTTGCTGTTGCTGCTGATGACGATGATGATAATGGTGATGGCGATGGTGATGATGACGATGATGACGATGATGGTGACCTCGATGATGCTGATGATGATGATGATGATGATGATGATGATGATGATGATGATGATGATGATGATCATGGTGATGGTGATGGTGATGATGATGATGATGCTGATGATGATGATGATGATGATGATGATGATGATGATGATGATGATGATTATGATTATGATGATGATGGTGATGGTGGTGGTGGTGGTGGTGATGATGATGAAGATGAGGAGGAGGAGGAGGAGGAGGAGGAGGAGGACGAGGAGTTCTTCGCTTATGTGTGCATATGTGTTGTTTCGCCTCCCCTTCTTTCACGTCAGGTCTGGTATTTTCTTTTGTGCCTGTTGCGGCCCTCCTCGCCCTAGGGGTCTCTTGTGCAGTCTTGGGAGCGTCTTGGGGGTTTGGAGCCCTCTTGGGGGGGCCGCTGGGGAGCGTTTGTGGTGCCTCTTTGGAGTCCTCTGGGAGCTCCTTGGGGCCTGCTGACATCCTTAGTCGGGACCTCTTGGGCCGTCCTGGGCGCCT